GGGGCAAATAGTGTTTTATTGAACCGGGAAAAACCGCAGGGTGCCCGTGCGGTGGGGGCACCCTGTCCCTGCGGGGAGCGTGCTGCGACGGGGGAGCCAAAACAGCGCTCCCACCCCTCGGCTTCCGCCGCAGCCACCAGCTCCCACCCCGGTGAGCAGCCGGGAGCACTGAGGAGACGGAATGGCTTCGGCCCTGGCTATTGAACCGGGAAACACCGCGGGGTGCCCGTGCGGTGGGGGCACCCTGTCCCTGCGGGGAGCGTGCTGCGACGGGGGAGCCAAAACAGCGCTCCCACCCCTCGGCTTCCGCCGCAGCCACCAGCTCCCACCCCGGTGAGCAGCCGGGAGCACTGAGGAGACGGAATGGCTTCGGCCCTGGCTCTTCACTTCCCCGTGGGATGGTTTGGTGTCGCCTGTGGCGGAGGAAAGAGCAGCCGCTGAGCTCGCGGCGCCTGTGCCGGGGCAGCGGTTAGCCTCCAAGCCGGGGAAACGCGGCAAGACACGCGTGTGAGAGAGAGACGCACGACTTACATGCGGGGAGGAGGGAGCCTCGCAGGGGGCACCCCAAATTGGGCGCTCCAGCGGCCGCTCCGCCCCGCCGCGCCGCGGGGCCCAGCCTAGCTGCTCGCTGCCGAGAAGAACCGGAGATGGAGGTTGCCCCACCGGCACCCCAGAACCCCCCAGCCATGCCCAGGGCACAGTTCCCAGTTGGGCATGGCTACTGGGGCAGCCGTCACCACCCCCCGGCCACGCCGGCTCCCTACCCCTGGCACGGTGTTCTGGTGGCTCAGGAGCGCGGTCCGGCTGCTGGGGACGACTTTCGGCTCGATGGTGTCGGGCGAATGGGCTGGATTTGGGGTCCTGGAGGCCACAAGGGCACCGAGATACTGCGGTCAGCGTCACCTGGGCGGAGAGCGGGTCAGTGCCACGCGGCACAGCCACGGTCCAGCAGCAGCGCCGGGGATGGCAGGGGACCTGCGGGCAGCTCAGCGTGGGGCACGGCGCTCCCAAAAAGCCAGGTGAGGCAGGGGCAGGCTCCCAACAGGACCCCGAGGGATGGATCCGGCCCCTACCTGGACCAGCTGCAGGTCGGTAAACGTCAGCACGCTGTAGTCGGGGCAGTACGAGGAGCAGCTCACGCAGTCGGCGCAGCCCTGCTGCTGATCCCGGCAGCTGCGGCACCGGGTGGACGCCGGGGACGAGTGCACGGCAGACGGTGTCGGAGAGCTGGAACCTGCCAAAGAGCATCACTCTTTGCACTCCAAAAAATGGCCGAGCGGGTCCGGCGCTGCCCCGGGTGTGAGCCCGGCGCTGCCGGCTGCTCTCACCTGCGGGTAGCGGTGCCGGTGCGGAGACGCTGTAGTAGGCAAAGGCTCCATTTTCGAATGTCAGTCCCTCCTTCCCGCTCTCCACCTCCACGCGGCCCTGCGGAGAGCGGGCAGCTTGGGGCAGGCAGAAGGGAGCGCTGCCTGTAGTCTGAGCGGCACGGGAGGGCCTGCGGCACCGGCACAGCCGCCCCTCAGTGCGCCCCGACAGGCGGAGAGAGCACCCAGCGCCACGCAGACGTCGCGGCAGGACCCTGGAAGGGAGGACACACACGGGGTTGATCGGGCACGGCTGGGCCCCTGCGCATGCGGTGGCACGTGGTGCCGTCCCCGTGCCGGCGGTGCCGTACCTGCAGGATGAGGATGAAGCGGCTGAGGGGATGGCGGGCAGCAGTACAGGTAGCGGTCCAGGGTGAAGCGGTTGTTCTCGTCAAACTTCAGCTCCTGAACAATACCGGGACGGCTCAGCAAGCGCAGCAGGGCCTTCTCGGAGGCGCGGGCCGGGCTGAAGAGCTCCAACTCTGCGGGGAGAGCGGCCAGCGTCGGCCCGGTGCCACCAAACAACCCCCCGTCACCGTGCCCAGGGACCCTCCGAGCAGCCCGGCGGGCAGGGTGAAGGCAGCCCGCTCCTGCCCGCACTCGCCTCACGCCAGAAAGCGCTGCGTGGTCGTGGAGCCGGGGAGAGCTTCGCCGTGGCGGTGCCGTCAGCCCTCGCCGACAGGGAGAAACCCTCCCTGCAGTGCTGGGAGACAAAGGGGCAGGAGTTTGGAGACGAAGGGGCGGGAGGACACGCTAAGGGGCGCACGGCCGCGACACCCCCTTCCCCTTCCCAGTTGCCCGACACATACCGTACTCATCCGACCCATCCAGGATCTTTGACGGGGTCCTTAAAGGCTAAAGGC